AACGCCGCGTCTTGCTGCTGCTGCAACGCTGCTGCTGCTGCTACTGCATGTGCTTGTTGTTGCTGATACAACGCCGCGTCTTGCTGCTGCTGCAGCGCTGCTGCTGCTGCTGCAGCATGTGCTTGTTGTTGTTGATGCAACGCCGCGTCTTGCTGCTGCTGCAGCGCTGCTGCTGCTGCTGCAGCATGTGCTTGTTGTTGTTGATGCAACGCCGCGTCTTGTTGCTGCTGCAATGAGGCTGCCGCTGCTGCTGCCTCTTGCTGCTGCCGCTGCATCATGATCATGGCTTGCTGTTGCTGTTGCTCCTCGGCGTGCTGATGGTGCGGCAGCGGTGGCTGATCCTGTTGGTGTAGCTTTGGCAGCGGAGGCTGAAGCTGCGGCTGATGCTGCTGGTGCAGCTGAGGCTGGTGCAGCAGTGGCTGCGGTGGCTGGGGGCATGGCTGGTGCTGTGGCACCGCTGCAGTTGTTTGCTGGTGCCATGTTGGCGACGGCGGCGGTTGGGGTGGAAATGTGGGCTGCGCTGGCTGTCCCTGGTCCTGCTGAGGTGGTTGCTGCGGCTGCTCAGCTTGTGCGCGTTGCTGCAGGTGCTGCTGCAGCTGCTGCTGCATCTGCTGCTGCTCCTGCTGCAGTGCCTGCACCGTGTTCGTCAGGAACTGCAGCACGCCGTACATGGCGTCCAGCGTGCCGAAAAGCCGACCCCATTGGCGATGATCATACGAAGGCGGCCGCTCGCCGGGGTGCTTCGGCGGCATTGCGCCCCCCCGCGCCGCGGCAAAAGACGAGAAGCAGGAAAATCGTGACGAGTAAGTTAATGGTTGAATGCAATGAGTGAATATATTGAACGCACGAACGAATGAACGAACGAATGAATGAATGAAATAATGAATGAATGAATGAATGAATGAAAGAATGAATGATTGATTGAACGAATGAATGAATGAATGAATGAATGAATGAATGAATCAATGAATGAAGCAAAAGATAAATTTCAATGAAATAATGAATGGGTGACAATAAGTGAATTGAAACAAAAATAGCATGAAATGACATGAAACGAATGAAGAATGAATGACAGAAATTGCATGACATGACATGAAAGGAAATGACATGACATAACGACTGAATGACCGACTGACTGACTGACTGTGACTGAATGAATGAATGAATGAATGAATGCATGAATGAATGAATGAATGAATGAATGAATGAATGAATGACTGAATGACTCAATGCATGAATGAAATAATGAGTGAGTGATTGAATGAAATGAAATGAAACGACGCAACATGAAATGAAGTGTATGCATGAATGAGTGAATTCATGAATGACTGAATGAATGAATGAATGAATGAGTGAATGAAATGAATGAATGAGTGAATGAAATGAATGCAATGAATGAAATGAAATGAAATGTAATGAAATGAATGAATGAAATGAAATGAAATGACATGACATGAAGTGAAATGAGAGAATGAATGAATGAATGAATGAGTGAGTGAATGAGTGAGTGAATGAATGAATGAATGAATGAATGAATGAATGAATGAATGAATGAATGAATGAATGAATGAATGAAATGATGGCTGGATGGATGAATGAATGAATGAACAACTGGTGGAACTCAATGAACGAATGAATGAACGAGTGATGGAACTGAATGAAAGAATGAAATGAATGAAATGAATGGATGGATGGATGAATGAATGAATGAATGAATGTGTGAATGAATGAATGACTGAATGAATGAACAAATGAATGATGAATTTATGAGTGAATGAATGAATGAATTAATGAATGAATGAGTTCATGAACGAACGAAAGAATTAAGGAACGCATGAGCGTCTGAATTGATGGATGAATGCATGAATGAGTGAATGAACCAATGAAGGACTTGAATTGAATTGAATTGATGCATGAATGAATTAATGAATCAAATGATTGAATGACATGACTGAATGCGTGAATGAATGAATGTATGAATGGAGTGAGATTAAATGAAATGAAGCGAATGAATGAATGAATGAATGAATGAAGGAATGAATGAATGAATGAATGGACGAATGAATTAGTGAGTGAGTGAGTCAATGGATCGAATGACTGAATGAATGCATGAACGACTGTGAACGCAGAATTGAGTGAATGACTGAAAGAACACTGCATGAATGAATGAATGAATGAATGAATGAATGAATGAATGAATGAATGAATGAATGAATGAATGAATGAATCAATGAATGAATGAATGAATGAATGAATGAATGAATGAATGAAAGAAAGAAATAATGAATGAACTAATGCATGAGTCAATGCATGGATGAATGAACAAATGAATTAAGGAATGTATGAGTGAATGAGTGAATGAATGAATGAACGGATGGATGAATGAATGAATGAATGAAATGATTGAAATGAAATGAAATGAAATGGAATGAAATGAAATACAATGAGGGAACATAAATCAGATACATGAATGAACGGATGAATGAGTGTATGACTGAATGAATGAATGAATGAATGAATGAATGAATGAAGGAAGGAAGGAAGGAATGAATGACGGGTGTTTCGTATGTGACGTGATGCGATGTAATGCGATGTGATGTAACTCAGAGCAATGTAATGTTGTGTTTTTGCGTATCTCAATGTAACGCGCAGCTGAAGTGTGAATGCCATGCGTTTAATGTAATGCAAAGTGTGTAATGCAAGTCTTCTCCTGAAATGCGGCGTTGTTGTGCTATCAATGTCCACAATGTGACACGGGTCATGCTACTGTTGCTGTTGAGAGCTGTTCGTGCGAAACCATATCTCTCCAACTTTGAGCCTTGCTGCCGGTGGAACAAATAAGTGGAAACATGCTGAACAGCTGTTGGTCCTGCTGTCCAGCAGGTTTTTTGAATTGACTGATGAAGCTGCTGGGCAGTAGCTGGTCCAACCCAATTTGCTGAGCAGCAGTTTGGGCCTGCTGCGAAGCAGGTCTGATGGAACTGCTGAGCAGCAGTTGGTCCAGCAGGAGGAATTGTCCGATGAAGCTGCTGAACAGCAGCAATGCTGCGTTCAGCAGGAAGTGTCTGATGAACCTGCTGAGCAGCAGCTGGTTCAACCCAATGAACTGCTGAGCAGCAGTCAGCAGGTCCAAACTGCTGAGCAGCAGTTGGGCCTGCTGTTCAGCAGGTCCTCTGCATGGTCTGATGAAGCTGCTGAGCAGCAGCTGGTCCAACCCAATGAACTGCTGAGCAGCAGTCAGCAGGTCCAGCACAGCATGTCTGACGAAACTGCTGAGCAGCAGTTGGGCTTGCTGTTCAGCAGGTCCTTTGCATTGTCTGATGAAGCTGCTGAGCAGCAGCTGGTCCATGAACTGCTGAACAGCAGTCAGCAGGTCCAGCGCAGCAGGTCTGACCAAACTGCTGAGCAGCAGTTGGTCTTCGACTTAGGTGATCAGTTGCGCCTGCTGTTCAGCAGGCATTGTCTGATGAAGCTGCTGAGCAGCAGCTGGTCCGACCCAACTAAGAAGCCAAAACCCAACAAAGACGCCAAGGTGCACCCGGAGCAGCGCCGGCGGCAGCGCGCAGCAGTGGCGCGGCAGGCCCGCCGCGCCTGATTGTACCACGGGTGGGGCTGCTGTTCAGCAGTCTGCAAATCATATTGCCTACTTCTGGGTCTCTGCTGGGTGTGGTTTGCCAGCCAACACGTTTCTTGAAAACAAGGGCACTTCTCTTCGCTTCGTATTACTTTCGTCATAGTTACTTATTGCTGCTGACCAGCAGCTCCGATTTTGCGGCTTTGGTTTGTTGATTGTCATGCGATGGTTTCGCTGCTGATCAGTGGCTTGCAATCTTAAGTTTCTGAGACAGGGCGCCTTGTTTTCGAGACAGTTGGTGGTGATTGAGTTATTGCTCACAGCGGTAGCACCTGTCGCAGCGCAAAATGAGTCTCATCATGCCACTCGTTTTAATTCCTCACACCCGCCCCGTTAGTGTGACCTGGTAGCTTAGCGCCAGCCTTTGGCTAAAAGGAGGCTTGTGTCAAAACACACCAGCCTGGATTAATTAGGCGACTTCTACTCCTCAATTACAAGCGCGTTGCTTCTGCATTTGGGGCTTCTTCCACTTCGGCCTCGCCATCCTCTCAGCAGAGGAAGGAGTTCCGGAGGCGTATGGCGTATGGCGTATGGCGTATGGCGACGGCGTATGGCGTATGGCGTATGGCGTATGGCGTATGGCGTATGGCGTATGGCGTATGGCGTATGGCGACGGCGTATGTTCATGATGGCGTATGGCGACGGCCGGTTTTTACGAGGCCGAAGCTTTCCATCATCTGCCATTGCGTCTAAAGTAACCAGCGCAACGCCTGCAACGCTTGCTCGACCCCAAAATTGGGTTCATCATGGGCATTGCTGTGTCGGCATTTTGCTCAAGCAACATGACCAACCAATGCAGTTCAACCAACTCAATGCAGTTCAACTCAATGCAGTTCAATGCAGTTCAATGCAGTTCAATGCAGTTCAATGCAGTTAAATCATGTTCATTGCTGAGCGAAGTTGAAAGGGTGGCAACCAACATGACAATGGTCTGTTTTAAGCGCAAAAAAGTTGTTTGTCCCACAAGAAATGAAGATTTTTGAAAAAGCACTGATCAAGAGAGAGAAGCAGCAAGCGTTGTGGTACCAAAATGATTCCTGCATTTGGCCATGTCGCAACCCCGCAGCGGCGGTCGCTGGGTGATGCGGAGCAGTCGGCGGGCTCTCGTTCAAGATGGGCGGCTGCGCCACAGCCTGGCAAAGCAGCTCAGCGGCTGACTCCTGTGACCCGTGAGGCCAATTTCTGTCATGCGAAGAGCTGCCCAGATCCAGCATCTTGTTGGCGCTGCTTGTTCCTTCGGAATCAAGAGGAGTGGGAGGCTTCTTCTCCGATCCAAGCAGATGGCATAACGATCGGCACCTGGCTGGTGCTCGCTGGCGATGCCGCTGATGCAGGGCTTGGGTGCGTCGTGTGCAACAAGGCGGCCATGGACAATGCTTTTGCACGGGGCACGGTTGCAACGCCTTTCCTGAGCAACATCAAAAGGCACCACGCGTCTTTGCAGCATCAGCGCGCTTTTAAGGTCATTGGCTTCACCAACTCTCAGCAGGCAGACAAGGATTGCCCTGGGCTGGATGTGTTCAAACAGGCGCTGGACCACAGGCTGAACAAATGCTCGCTGAGGCAAGGGATTGGCGGCGAGAACCCCTGTGGACGAGAGAAGTTGTCTCGCTTGCAGTGGTGCTTGGCTGAGTCCGACCGGGAGATTACCCGCGACTTCATCCGGCGTGCCTCCGCCATAGCAATAGCACAGGATGGTCGCCAGAACCGGTTGCTGATGCGTTTCTCCGCCTGCACCCCAAACCTGGAGATCAAGAAGGGCATCCTGGGCGCCCAAGAAGTTATCGGCGAGACCATCTCCAACGTGGTTGTGGCAATGGAACGTGTCATTGAACGCTTTGCCACGCCCGGATGGGGCGGCCCATGCGCTCAAGAGATGGACTCTTCCCTGCGCGAACACCTCCGGAACTCGGTGACGATCTTTGTGGCGGATGCTGCCAGCAATGAGCAGGGCGCAGGGCGAGTGAGCAAGAGTTTCTTCCCAAACCTGGTTTCGATTCAAAGAGACAGGGCTCACGCTTGTGCCTTGGCTTCTTCTATGGATCTGTCAAACTGACGTCTCAATCTTTTTCCGATCGCAAGCTTGTGTTCTAGAGAAGTCCTCCCTACCGAAAAACCGAAAAAAACAAAACCCTAGCAAAGAGGGCGGGATTCGAGAAGGCTGCGACAAAAGGCCGGGAAGGCGCCGAGGGAAGCGCTGAGCAACAGCCGGGAATCTAGCTCTGCGTGCAACCTTGCGTGTAATCTTGACTACTAAGGTACCAGGGTGCTGAAAAGGCCATGGGACGCCGTGGCCGAAATCAAAGACACCATGAACAGGTACATCATGGGTTCGAACTCAATCTGCCAGAAGATCCACTTCTCGCAGACGCTGCAGGGCGTATTCAGCCGGTTTGCTGTGGCATGCGAAAAGAACGGCGGCAATGGCAGGCGTATTAAGCATCTCCAAGCTGCAAAGCACCGGTTTGCATCATGCTCGCTGCCATTACAAAGAACAGTGATCTACATCGATGCTCTGATCTCGACTCTGGTCTGGGTTGCGACCCAGCGCGACGGCGACGATGCCAAAGCTGCGTTTGAGTACCTGGACGCCATGAGCGAGCGGCACCTCATCCTGATCAGCATGCTCATCATGATCAGCATGCTCATTGATCAGCATGCTCGCTGACATTAGCGACGAATGCAGCGGCTTGCTCAGGCTAGTGGACACTGAGAGCTATGACCTGTCAGTTCCCCATCGAGGTGGAATCCTTGCTGGCACGCCTGCACCGCTTGATCAACCAGGGCGCAATTTTCACTCAAGGGTTCACGGCTTACATGCTGGAGCTGCTTGAGGAACCAAGGGGTTTTATGGCGCTTGAAGCTGCATCGAGTAAATGGTTTCTACGTTTGCTGCGAACACGTCATGAAGGATGGTTCAGCATCTGTTAGCCTAGCGTGCGCTTTGAAGTTTAGAAACATGTTCTTGCGCGTGGTGTTCAGGTACGTCAGCAGGCTAAGACGATCGGGGGTCGTGGCCGGGTCAGTCCGGAGCTTTTGCTGGCCTGCACTGAACAGTGCCAAGCATTTCTCGTTCTCGCCACCAACACGCTGAAAGCTGAGTTCCCAGAGCATGATATTCTGACATCGTTCCGGGTTTTTGATGTTGTCAAGAAGCGTGGTGTGGAACGAGACGAAGCGCACCACATTGCCTTCAAGGATCGGTCTTTGCAGCGGATGGCTCAGGTATTCCAAGTGGATGCAGTTGCACTCCGGTCGCAGTTTGACGAGGTCGAGCCCATCGCGATGTATGAGGCAACCACTTGCCGCACATGCAGCTTTACAGCTTGGCAAACTGCGCTGCAGAGAATACGTGCGCGGACTGCTGGTCGACGTCAAAAAGACCACCTCCAAGCCTTGTTCAAGGTAGTGTCTTTTTACGGAGCATGGAACGGATTGAGCACCTCGGGCGTCGAGCAATCATTCAGCATTCTGCAGGAGGGCATCAGCAAGCAGCGGCGACACATGTGCCTCTTCTCAACCTTGGATGTAACTCTTCTCAATTGTTTGCCTGAAGTTTAGGCAGCTGATTTGAACGCTAAACAGCTTTGCGCTGCCATTGACTTGGCAGTGCTGAGGAGTGAGGCTACACAAAGCGACGAGCAGCAGCTGCTGCTGCTGTCCAAGACCGACACGCCCCATGACCAGCTTTGCGCAAGAGCGGCCAAGGTCTGGCAAGCGTACTTTGGTAAGCCCCGAGCAAGCTGCATGACAAGGCTTGACAAAGGCATAAAGCGCAAGCAGACAGGCTGCACTTTGACGGTCAACGATGTTCGAAAGGGCCGCAGGCTTGACAGCAAGGCGGCAGCACCAGTGGACATTGCGACGGTTGAGTCAACTGCTGCCAGGGGATCGTCAGGAATCTGGTCAGAGTCGATGGCGAACGAGCTGACCTTTCAGAAAACAAAACAATATGAAAGCCGCGCGCAGAGCTACCTTGAGAACGCGCTGTTAGAGGACGAGGTTGAGCCGGACCTCGTTGATGTGGCACTGGCCGTTCGGCAACACGTAGCGAAAACCGATGAGCAGCGAACACGGTCACTAAGCGCTCGTTAAAGCAGAGTTGTGTTATTTTATTTTGCAGCTGGAGATTCACTTGAAATCGCGTTGTTTGTCCATGCTGCTTCGACGAAATCATCAAGACACTGCCAAGGAAGGAAGCTCGGAGTGCCAACTTGCTGCTGCCCAAGAAGGTTGACGTTGCAGCCAGGCCGTTCTACCTCGAGGACAGCAGCTGGCTTCAAGACGTGCATGGGGCTGCGCGTGACAGAGCGCGACGCTTTGTGTGGGATGCGGAAGGCTTCGTGGTGGAGGACCCAGCGAACCCGCAGGAGGAGGTGTTCGTTGCTGCAACTCTTTTGGGTGGCATGCTGGCCAACAAGCAGTACTTTGACAGCAAGGGGGAAAAGGGCATCGCGCTGCACTTTGCGCCTGCCATCCACGTTTTGCGCAAGGTGTTTGTCAGCCCGGCGTTTGAGCGTGAGAAGCCTGCCATTGCTAGAGTTTTCAAGAACGCAATGCAACATGCTGGGTGCAAGTGGAAGGCGATTGAAAGCTGGGAACAGTTTGCGGACTTGCACGTTGCGACTCCTGCAGCTCGGCGTTTCACAGTCGTCGCAATTGCTTCTGACGCAGAAGCTGCACGGGCAAATGAAGCCAACATATTTGAAAAGAATGGGTTTCTCAAATTCGTTTGCAAAATGTGCATCGCCAAAAGGGGGATGCGTGGCTCGTGAACCCCTTCCAACTCATCGGCGGTGCACGGGGTCCTGCCTCAATGTGGCCCGGGCAAACGCCCAACCTCCGCCTTGAGCTTGCCACGCGGCCTCAGTCAGTGGCATTGAACCAGCTGGTGCTACAATTCATACTGTCACCCATGTTGGTTTTTAGTTGTTCTGAGGACTGCGGATGTGGCCTTGGTTGTCGCAAGCATTGCTTGTACTTACTCAGGGGAGTGGCGAAAACAAGACGCGTTTGCAGGGGATGAAGTGGCTTTGAAATCTTCAATTAGCCACTGATCAGTGAGCAACACTGAGCAACCAAGGATATCCTTTTGCTTAGTTGACCTGAAAAGCAACACAAGCCAAACAAGAGCTCCAACAAGATGCAACAGCCTGCCATTTTAATAAATTGGAGATATGCAACATAGCCAATGTCACAAGTACGCCAAAGGTTCAACTTTGTCAATCAACCTGTTTGTTTGGCACGTAGCTTACAACAAACATCCTGCAGAACCCGGTGGATAATAATAATCAGTGTAAATGTGTCATCTGCAAACCATTTGACCCCGAGGGCAATACCACATGTTGCAGGCGTGGGTGCTGAAACGAAAACAAGTGTTGGCACACAATGTCACAAACCACTTTTCGGGACACAAGTTCAAGTTTATAGGCATAAAGCCTCTTCGATGCGATGCAGTGAGGCGGACACAGCAGTAGTAACAAGCTCTTGAAACGACTGACGGGTTCATGCGACTGTTTGAACTTGTAGTTGCTGAACAGCAACTGAATGAAGTTGGCATGAACATGATGTTGGCTGCGTAGTGCTTGTTCAGACTGTTGCTGAGCAGCAACAAAGTTTGCATGAAAATGATGCTGCTGAGCAGCAGCTTGAGCTGACTGTGATTGCTGGCCAGCAACTTCAACCACTGAACAGTGGCAAATCAATGTGATTCTCGCTGATGCTGAGATTGCTCTAAGCGAGCGGGCCCCGCACCACGCTTCTTGGCAGCCATGTCGCCGAAGAAGCAGCCGAAGAACAAGGCGAAGGCAAAGGCAGCGGCTGCCGCGGTGCCCGCTGCCGACGATGCGCCAGCCGCCGCGGATCCTGGTCCTGGCGAGGTGGCTGATGTGAATCGGGCGCACTATGCGCAGCTGGAAATTGCTTTGCAGCGCATCATGGAGCACCCGCTCTTCAGCAACATCATGCATGAGGAGCCCATCGGCATCAATCAGAACGCGGCATCCCACTCGGCTGGCCACAAGGCCAGGTTTTCAAAAGTTTTGGCTGAAATCGTGTGCCTTTTTTAGCTTGGTGTATATTCCCGGCGTATTCCCGAAAGTGTGGTACTCAAAAACAAGGGGGCTGTTGAGAGCCTAGGGGTGGACCACCCTAAGCTCTCAACAGCTGGGAGCGCTCCCGGCTGTTGAGAGGGGGGTCTATCGACCGCACGGCGGGTGTTGAGAGCCTAGGGGTGGAACACCCTAAGCTCTCAACACCCGCCGTGCGGTCGATAGACCCCCCTCTCAACAGCCGGGAGCGCTCCCGGCTGTTGAGAGCTTAGGGTGGTCCACCCCTAGGCTCTCAACAGCCGGGGGGGTGTGCGTGACCCTTTTCCGCACATCCGATTCCAGGCAGTGTTTGTGCAGCAAGCCTATGAAGCTGCAATGCAGACTGCCGGCCAGTACGACAGCGCGTGCAACCTCTTTTGGCTGAACTTGCGGTGGACTTGCGCCCCTCGAGTGCCGATTTCCCGCCAAGCTGTGACCAACTTGCAGCACAGCATGTTCTGCAAAGGGCCCAAGAGGCAGAGGCTATTGAATCCCATCATTAACATAGTTTTCTTAAACGTCTTCCCTGACCAGGTTCGACAAGCCGATCATTGTTGCGGTGGGCGCGAACTTGGAGCTCAGCCGTGGGAACTTGCGCCGCGTGAGCCCGGAAGAGGTGGAGCACGCCTACCTGTTTGCGCTGGCAGCCGCCATTGAGCGCGAAGAACCTGAGCATGTTCTGCTGAAACTTGTCTCCAATGGTCCCCAAAAAATGTTTTACACAATATTGCCGCTGCACGTGACCGCCGCTGCCAAGGGAGTGGAAGACGGTCGCTCTGACGGCAACTTTCGTGTTTGAGGTCATCGACACGCCAGAGAAAATGTTCTTCAGAGGGGCGCCCTGACTGCCAGCAAAGATGTTTACTGTGTGGGACTGTCAGTCTGAAGTAAAATACAGCCTAAGAAGTAGTAGTAGCTTAGCCTAGCGCCTGGTGCGCTGCCGACATCGCAGGTCAACCTCCGCAACAAGATCATCGATGACTATGATGCTCTTGTCCGAACAGCAAGCCAAAGAACTTACGAGCTCATGACCTACAAGGCCGCCCAGGAGTCAGCGGCGAAGAAGATGACAGCAGAGGAGCTGTACGAAGCATGGTCGCAGCAGGTGTCGGAGTCCAAGTCGGCCCTTGCGGAGAACGTCACTTTGAACTTCGTTCAAACGGCGATCCGGGTGTATGACAGGGTCCTCTCGGTGCCGAATTTGCGGGACATGGTGTTCGTGATGGACAACAGGCTCGGCAAGGCGTCGCCCACTTCGCAAATGTGGACCCTTGCCAAGATCCTTGAGAAGACCAAGAACCCGGACCAGATCGCTTGGGCTCTGGCGACGATGGATGACCTCATGATTTACCTCGATTGCTCGCCGAACGAATTCAAAGGTCGCTCGCTGGCTCCCTGACTCCAACTTACTTTCGTTCTGATCTTTGCTGTCTTTTTTTTGGCCAGCGAATGTGCTGAACTGCAGGGTGGAGCACCTCGGCAGAAGGGGCTGGTGGACTTGTGGGTCCTGAAGATGGATCTGAAGGACTACTTCCTGGGCCCCTTCCTCGGCAAGTTGCAGCTGCCAGAGGCTGACACTGCCATGATGGCCAGGCTGCGCACGCACAAGGGGTTCCGGGATCTCACGCGTCTCGGCAGAACTTCAGTGAGCAACCTAGTTTATTGATTATTCTGAGAACCGGTGGACAGCTGGTCAGGCGGAATGAAAAGTCCATCCTGGGCACGGTGCGCGAGAGCACGCGAAAGATGGTGAGCATCCTGGAGAACTTGTGTTTGGCGTGACGAACGATGGCGCGTTGAAGACGGCGCTGAAGGGTAGCTGCGAGGTCGCAGAGGTGATCAGCCAGGTGAAGTTCCTGTCGGAAGCGATCGAGGAAGTCAGCATCACGAACAAGGAGGAGTCCACTGGCCATCCCATGGCCACATCTTCCAAAGAGCCGGGAAGCGCCCATGAGGACGTCAATCAGGGCAAATCCTTGACGCTGAAGGACTTGTGCACGGCGCAGCAGCTGGAGACTGTCGATGACGAAGGCAAGCTGGACGACTGGCTGACCTTTCTGCTCAACAAGTTTGAGTCATTCTGCACTTTGGTGGTGGATCATGCATCTTGGCTTAATAGTTGCAGCTGATCAGCTGCCTTTTCTTGCAGCTGAACAGCTGCCTTTTCTTGCAGCTGATCAGCTGCCAATTCAGTCAGTGTCAGACTGAGTCAGTAGTACTTGACATGGCAAGGACAGCAAAGATGACTTGATCAAGGTCCTGGAGCCCACTGTGCTGAAAAAGGTGAGCGGGCCATGCATGCTGCTCTACGACTCGAAGGTTGCTGGAGAGGCGTCATCGAATCCGAACATTCGTTTGCCACCCTTCCAGCAGAGGCATTTCCGCCGCATGCTGCAAGCATTCACGGCAGTGCGGGGACCTGGCGACCAGGAGAATGCCCAGGAGGGGGATTTGAAGAAGACGGACCTCGTCATCTACATGGATGGAGGGCGGAGTGGCAACGACACGTCGGTGTCACAAGCCTTTGTTGACTCGACGGGCCGCTCGATGAACAAATGCAGACAGTGCTTCACAATCTGCTACGACGAAGAAAGCCTCGTCGACAGGCGCGAAAAAGTTCGCGGGTTCGTGAACCAAACCGAGTCCATGATGTGCTACACCCTTGAGGGGTTAGAGATTGAGAAGGTTGCGCGGAAGCACTACAGCGGGACGAATCACGGCACCCACATCGGTCCAGTTCGCGCGCTGCCTTACACCGACAAAGCTTGTTGGCGAATGAGCCCTGCCGACAAGAAAGGCTTGTATGGGGACAAGGGTAGGGTGCTCACCGGTGGCCCCTGATGCTTGGACGCAGTTTGCAGTAAATACTTTGAATATCTTCACGCTACCTCTAAGATATGGAGATCATGTCGTCCAAATCCGCGATGCGCTCAGGCCCGGTCAACGAGCCAAAGCCCGCACTTCCTGAGGGGCTTGAACCGGCCACCTGGCACTTCAGCAACCCAGTCTTCCTGGCTGAGGTGCTGCACAGCTTCAAGCCCGCATGCGTCTTCCGAGCTCCTGATGTTGACCACTTGCTCATCATGGAGTGCATCAAGCGCAAGGTTCCTATCATCAGCGTGTGCTTTACCTCGCAGCACGCAGACCTGCTGAAGGCGAAGGTGCTGAAAAGCTTGTGGGACGCCTTCCAGAATGACGATATCCCAGAGCTGTATGAGGTGGGGCTGCCCCCTGGCAACAAACTTGGCGCACAAGTGTGTTTACTGTTTGTTGCAACTGCGCACGTCACGTGGAAACTACTAAGGACATCTTTGCTGAACGCAGAGAAGATCAAGGAGGTTAAGAAGGCCCCACGAGCCAAGCGCAAGGCGACGGTCGCGGTCGATGATGCAGAGACTGAGAAAGAGAAAGCGGGCGGTGATGGCGGCGATGACGACACCAAGCAGAAGGCTCCAGCCAAGAAGCAGAACACTGGTAACAGTAGCACTGCTGAGGCGGCACGGGCTGCGCTTCTTGCAAAGTTGCAAGGATGAATTGCCAACAGGGCAAGCGACATTTTGGCCTGTAGTCATTCATGGCCTTGCCACGTTCAGTTGCAAATACTTGACAAGAGCATTGCGGTGTTTCTTGGGAAGGCGGCTGGGCCATGCAATGGTGAAGAACTTGAAAGTCGGCGAGAAACCCATCGATCGCATTGAAAAGGCACGCTTGGCCTGCTGAGACTTTAAACTGACGAACTCACTGGCTTGTCTGCTGACCAGCAGTCGCTCACCACAGCCAATTGGTGTTCAAGAGTTAGAGCTGACTCCAGCAATGGCTGGGTTTTCAGCTGACATGGATGACATTGACGACAACGATGCTGGCTTCGCTGCTCAAGCCAAGCCCAAACCATCCCGGAAGGTTCAGAAGGTTCAGAAGGTGCAGAAGGCGGTGTTGAAGCGGCCTGCGACTGCAGCTTCCAGCCAAACACCTGCTCGTCGTCCTCCGAAGGCTGTCCCCTCACAAAACGCTGCTGCTGCCATCTTGCAGATGATTGCAGCATGGAGCCTCAACATGGTCATCGAGACGTGCGAGCACAAACATAGCGGCATTACTGTTGCCAGCGCATGCCGTGGCTGGTGCAGCGAACTCATCGCCTTGACGCGGCTCGGAGTCCGCCACACGTGCTGCTTCGCGTGCGACATCTGCCGTAAAGCCAAGGCTTTGAGCACCCGTACGTACCAGCACCACAAATGGTTTGACAATGTGATGGATGAGAGCTTCTTGCGAGCCCCGACAGTCGACTTTTTCTTCAGCGGCTTTCCTTGCCAAAGCTTTAGTACTGCCGGGTTGGGCAAAGGCATTGCCGACTTGCGGGGCATCGTAGTTTTCTACGTTCTTCACTACATCTACCGCGCCAAGCCAAAGTGTTTTTTGCTGGAGAATGTTGAGGGGCTGCTCACAAACCACAAGCCCATCCTAGTGCTGATCTTGGAGGTCATTATGGAAATGAAAGATGCAGCTGGCCAGCGGCTGTGGATTGACTAATTTCTCATGAGTACTTTTGTCAGCCCTTTTACTTGTCAAGCATTGTTAATTTCAACCGTCACATGCCCATATCATGCCGTCCTTGTCGTCGAGTGCCAGGTACAACGTGTCCTGGAAAGCGTTGGACACCAGCCAATACAGCGGCTTGCCGCACCATCGCGTCCGGGTCTTCATTGCCGGCGTCCTGGCCAAGTCGCAGAAATCAGACATGAAATGGCCAGACCCCATCCCCATGCGCCCGCTGAACGACTTCTTGGAAAAGAAACAGCCCGAAGTTGCCTTGAACAGTTTGGCTCCAGGGTACTACAACCATGTGAAAACGGCACTTACAAGGATCATCAACCAGGGAGACGACCCTTTCAAGAACCAGTACGTTGTGGACATATCATGCAGTCAGAAGCGGCAGGCTCATTTCATGAAAGGAGTGTCACCTTGCCTGACCAAAAACCGTGCAGCGTCCAAAGGGCATTGGCTGACAAAAGAGTCACGTTGGATGACCTTATGGGTGTGTCACAGTCGGATTTTCCGCACGGGGTCGTTTCAGCTGCTGCCCTGGGCGGAATAGCCGGCAACGCAGTTCCAATTCCTTTGGTGCAGAGGGTCATTGACTCCTTGCTGAAGTCTGCTGGCTTAATGTAATTCGGGATGGAGTTTAAAACTTGGCTTGGGCAATCACAACCCCATACAGAAGTGAACATGTGATTTTGGGTGCGTTAAGCCAGCCAGTTCAGCAACATCACTCACAGCGTGTCAGTGAAACTTCAAAAGGGCTGTGCACATGCGCCTCGCTGTTTCATGGGCCATCGGTGATTTCAGGCCAAGCTTTTGAGACAACTCAGTTGCCATATGGCGGCAACTAATTTTGCCATGTTCATGCTGCTTGCAAATGTTCTTCAGCTGAGTAATGCACTTCTTGGACTGCACGGTTTCAAGGATGCTTTTGCTCCCGTTGACCTTGACAACGCCTTTCTGAGATAGCTTCACACTCTTGTCACCATTCCGAAGAGCTGCGCGGGCTTTCTTCTTCTTGTTTGCCAAGCCATGTTGTAACCTGGACACTGTCATGTCTTTCTCCAGCTCATTGTATGCACAGATTATCCGGCGCAAGAAGCGCGAAGCTGGGTTTTCTTCGTGGCTGAACAAATCAGGAAGATCTGATGCGACAATGGTCACCCCTTGTTTTTTGCTGAAGTCATACAAGCTTTCAGCAGCCACAGCGCTGCGCGCCAAAGCACGGCCATTCTCAATCACCACCTTATTGATCCCCTTGGCCTTACACTTCAGGATCAGGTTCTTGAACTCCTCACGCTTGTCTGCCGGCAGGCTGCCAGAGATCACCTCTGCTGCGGAGCAGGCCAGCTGCCATTTTTTGGCTTTGCACGCGTTGCGACATGCTTCCTTCTGCCGGCTCACGCTGGCACTATCCTTGTTGGTCTTAGAGCTCACTCTTGCATACACGGCAGCTTTTGTTTTTGCCATGATTCTCTCGCCCACGACTGTAGCAGGATTGGTCTTTTGCAGCCTCGAACCCATGACAGACTGCAGCGCAGGCTGGCTTGTTACAAGTCGTTTTGAGAATCCAGACTGGCTGTCTCACAAACAACCCCCCTTTGTCTTGTAAACTTAAGGTTTCGAGACGCAGGGATCAGCTGCTGACCAGCAGCCCGGCCACAAATATAAATCCTGAGCTGCTGGCCAGCAGCATAATGATTGCGAGCCAGGGTTACGAGCAGCCGGGGTGAAGGTTCAAGCAAGTCTCAGACTAAAAAACGCACCCGTGCCTTTCCGGCAGGCTCGCAGCTGCAGCTGCCTGCCGGCTGCTGGCCGCTGCTGCGCGCTGCCGCCGGCGGAACCTTGGTTGAAATCTGGTCAGACAATCAATCCCATCAACCACCCACTGCTGCTCAGCAGTTTGTTTTGTTTCGCGCAGCTCAGCGGATCCAACTGCTGCTCATTAGCACGCACCAACTGCTGCTCAGCAGTTTCACACGCTGCTGCTCAGCGGAACCAACTGCTGCTCAGCAGTTTCACCAAAAAAACATCACTGCTGCCCAGCAGTTTCATCAGCACGCACCAGCTGCCAGGCAGCTTCACCCCCCGCTGCTCAGCAGAACCAACTGCTGCCCAGCAGTTTCATGAGAAGCACATCAACAGTTTCATCAGCACGAACCAGCTGCTGCTCAGCAGTTTCAACTTCAACACAAACACCAGCTGCTGCTCAGCAGTTTCATCAGCAAGAGCCAGCTGCTGCTCAGCAGTTTCAACAGAAGCACCAGCTGCTGCTCAGCAGTTTCAACAGAAGCACCAGCTGCTGATCAGCAGTTTCATCAGCACGAACCAGCTGCTGCTCAGCAGTTTCAACTTCAACACAAACACCAGCTGCTGCTCAGCAGTTTCATCAGCAAGAGCCAGCTGCTGCTCCGCAGTTTCCACAGAAGCACCAGCTGCTGCTCAGCAGTTTCAACAGAAGCACCAGCTGCTGATCAGCAGTTTCATCAGCACGAACCAGCTGCTGCTCAGCAGTTTCAACTTCAACACAAACACCAGCTGAGCTGCTGCTCAGCAGTTTCATCAGCAAGAGCCAGCTGCTGCTCAGCAGTTTCAACACAAGCACCAGCTGCTGCTCAGCAGTTTCAACAGAAGCACCAGCTGCTGATCAGCAGTTTCAACTTCAACACAAACACCAGCTGCTGCTCAGCAGTTTCATCAGCAAGAGCCAGCTGCTGCTCAGCAGTTTCAACAGAAGCACCAGCCAGCTGCTGCTCAGCAGTTTTCAACAGAAGCACCAGCTGCTGCTCAGCAGTTTCAACAGAAGCACCAGCTGCTGCTCAGCAGCTTCGCCAGCACTTGCCAGCTTTTGCCTAGCGGCTTCATCAATGTTGCGTGATGTGGCTCAAGGGAGGCGCAGGCGGACACAAACTTGTGGCAGACACAAAAGTCCATCACAAACCATGAGATGCACGCAGAAAGAGACTTCATCCACATGCGCTAACTGCCTGCCAACCAACCAACCAACAAACAAACATACCTACATACCTGCATACATACATCCATCATCCATACATTACATTACATTACATTACATTACATTACATTACATTACATTACATTACGTTAGACTCACACATTACTTTACATTACATTACATTGCATTACAGTGCATGACATTATAACATACATGCAATACATTACATTGCGTTGCATTGCATGGCATTGCAATACGTTACATTGCATTACATATAATACATACATACATACATAGACATACATAAATACATACTGCATTACACACACACAATACATTGCATTGCATTGCACTGCGCTACACTGCATTGTTTACTGTTTATCTTCTCGGCGCGGGGTGGGGCAATGCCGCCAAAGCAAGGCGGCGAGTATCGGCCGCCGTCGTATGAGGCTCGCCAATGGGGGCGGCTTTTCAACACGCTGGACGCCATGTATGGCGTGCTGCAATTCCTGACGAGCACCGTTCAGGTTTTGCAGCAAGAGCAGCAGCAGCTGCAGCAGCAGCTGCAGCAACACATGCAGCAGCCGCAACAACAGCCAGCAGGAGCCTCAGCAGCTGAGCAGCCGCAACTGCATCAGCAGCCCCAGCAGGAACAGCCAGCATTTCCACCGCCGCTGCCGTCGCCACCATGGCGCCATCAGCAACCAACTGCTGGCGCAGCAAACGCAACACAATCCGCAGCACCAACAGCAACCGCAACAACTACAGCCCCCACAGCAGCAACCGCAACAACTACAGCCCCCACAGCAGCAGCGCCAACAGCAACCGCAACAACTACAGCCCCCACAGCAGCAGAACCAACAGCAACCACAACAACTACAGCCCCCACAGCAGCAGCACCAACAGCAATGGCAACCACAACAACTACAGCCCCCACAGCAACCGCAACCACAACAACTACAGCCCCCACAGCAGCAGCAACCACAACAACTACAGCCCCCACAGCAGCAGCACCAACAGCCACCGCAGCCACCGCTGCACCAACAGCATCAGCCACCGCCGCGCCACCAGCCCCAACAGCCGCAATGCCCACAGGAGCAGCTGCACCACACGATGCAGCAAGAGCTGCCTTCGCAGCTGCAGCAGCAGCAGCATCAGCAAGCCATGATTCAGCAGCAGCAGCAGCAGCAGCAAGAGGAACGTGCAGCGGCAGCACAAGCAGCAGCACTGAGGAAGCAACAAGAAGCGCAGGCTGCTGCCGAAGCAGCATTGCGTCAGCTACAGCAAGCAGATGCAGCTTCAGAAGCAGCAGCATTGCTTCAACAGCAAGCACATGCAGCTGCAGCGTTGCAGCAGCAACAATTCCACCACCTGCTGCAACAGCAGCAGCCTCAGGCAGAGGCTACGTTGCTGCAGCAGCAACAGATGATCCAGCTGCAACAAGCCCAAGCAGCAACAGCAGCAGCAGCAGATGCGCAGATACAGCAGGCTGCAGCGGCGGCGGCAACGCAAGCCTGGGCACATCGCCAGCAAGAGGAGCAAGCCGCTCTCAGGGCACAGCATGCCCAGCGAAAGGAAGCGCCTGCTGTGGAAAAGGCTGCGGCGATGGCGCCAGCAATGGCAAAAGCTGCGCCAGAAAGCAGCAGCAGCAAAGCAGCGGCGGCGCCAGCAACCACAGCCAAGGCGAGGCCAAAGGAGCCAGGAAGCGCTCAGGACCGACTGCGTCTTGGCATTTCTAGGGATTTGCACTTTGTTGGTTAAAGTTTGGTCCGTTGGATCATCCTTGTTGCGTTTCGAGCCAGCTTGAAACGGGATTGACTATCCTATCAACATGCATTCCTTGCTTGAAGGACAAAAGCCAAAGAGCAGCAAAAGATGATGAGGCGCGAACCGGCTGGTGTCACTGATTGGCAAACTAGCTGCTGATCAGCAGCTTGTTGCTACCTGCTGCTGACAAGCAACCTGTTGCTGACCAGCAACCTGTTGCTGACAAGCAACTTGTTGCTGACGAGCAACCTGTTGCTGACCAGCAACCTGTTGCTGACCAGCAACCTGTGGCTGACCAGCCACCTGGTGACCATGATTGTGTGTGACGTCATGCACTCAAGGTTTCAATTAGCGGCCCATGCAAGATCAGTCGACATCACACCATGTGCACTTGCCATCTTGGTCATCAAGCAAAAAACTACTCCGACTCTTGGCATCGCGACACACAAATTGCCAAACAACGCAGTCAGTGTTTCAAAACAGCTTACAGCCACACAGCTCGGCATCATCATCATCATCATCATCATCATCATCATCATCATCATCATCATCATCATCAGTAGGAACCAGGCCATGGGGAAGCGATTGGGGGACAGCATGTCCCAGCTGAAGCGGCGCAAGCGGAGGGGCGAGTTGCAGATGGCGGTGGCTGCTGAAAAAGCAGAGACGGTGCTGCAGAGCTTGGCGAAGGAGCGGGCGGATCAGGAGAAGGAGCACGCGGAGCAGGAGAAGTTCCATGCGGAGCAGGAGAAGCTGCGCGCGGAGCAGGAGTTGGTGAAGGCGCGTGCTGAGCTGAGCAGATTGCAGGCCTTGCGGCTGGCGAGCCGTGACGC